TATGTATCTCTCTCTCTCTCTCTCTGTATGTATGTATATACATATTATACTATTACTATGCTTTAGGGAGTGGCGGATTGGAACCGAGGCGAAGGCCACCAAGGGCCGCGGCCGGCCGCCCAAGCTGCTGGGAGACCTCTGGCTTTGGGCGCCGGATCGGTTTGGGGCCACGGGGTGGCCACGCGGTGCAAGTGGCTTAGGGCTTTAGGGTTGTAGGGTTTCAGGGTTGCGGGGTAAAGCTTTGCAGATCACAGGGTTGAGAGATGCTACGCATGTGCGGTCCACGAGTAACATGGAAGGCAAGGACCGACGCAGAAAGCTGTAGCCAAAAATCCGTCGACCGGTAATGATACAGGCAAAATTATCCATGTAGCCATCAAGTTGGAAAGACCGCTAGTACTGTAGGATCAGTAAGGATCACTGGTCATATTCTCACTGGTCATATTCACAGTCACAGAGCTCTTTGCTGAATCCGCCAACGAGTGGGGCTCCCTGCACGACTTCTCCATCTCCGCGGTAGACCACAGAGTTGCACCGCCGGCGTAGGAAGGTAAGACTGCAACGTGCTGGGAGCTTGGACTTCTGCAAGCTTGCAGCACTGTTGGAGTCTTGGGTGCCTCAAGAAATCCGAGAGTTTCTGGAAACTAATCACGCCGTTTATGCAAGATCTGAGGTTTGAGGCTGCAGAGGAGGCGTTCCCTTTCTGAGCTGTTCAGCCACATGTCGTGATTCCACCTCGCAGTGCGTGCCGTCTCGCCGTCCTCGCTGTTGGCCTCGCACTGTGGATTTGCATAGGCGTGACACGAGACCCCAAAATGAATCCCAAATGCCAAAGCCATGTCCCAAACCCTGGGCACCCCGACTCGGCTGCGGCCCGTTCGGCTGCGGGCCGAATCCGGGCGCGAGGCAGCGACCTGGAGCTCTGCGACCCCCACGGCCCGAGTCTGGTGAAGAGGCCAAGGCCGTGGCCGAGGTGGGTCGAGAGCGCGAGCCCTCGCCCTCGCCCTCCTGAGAGCATGTCTTTGAGATCGAGAGAAAGTGCGCAACTTTCAAACGAGTTGATGGAATGTTGACTAGGGCGGATGGCCGCTTCGCCTTCGCAGATGCTCTCAGTCCAAGGGGCAGGCTGCAGAGACTGCAGGAGTGCAGGCGAACTGCATTCGAGGCCGAGAGCCACTGTTGACACTCCTCTGAGTGCTGGGCGGACGAGCACTCTCTGCCATCGCCACCGACCTCCTGCTCCTGGCAGCGATGTCTATTCTCCCCGTCCGGGGAGAAGAAGTGGACTTGAACTTGAGTCAGACCGAGAAAAAAGAATGTGCTCTTTCCTGAAATCCACTTCCAAAACCAACAAGCCCTTCAACACGGGTCCCGGCTCACTTGCGCTGCGAGGAAACATAACTGGTCTTGAAATCTTGAAATGACCACAACTGCTGTCTCTGTCCCCTTGCTGGACGGGTTTTCTGAACTGAACATGGCTCCTCCTCCTCCCCCTTCGCCGGGTGCTTCTCATGCATCGGCGAAGGTGCGGGAGAGCTTCGCACCTCAGTGGACGGGTGTCTTCCTGACTTTTCCGGATCTCGGAGATGTCCCTCCGATAGGCCCCCAGCTGTCGAAGCTGAACGAGACTCTGGCATCACCCTAAGCCTGTTTGAACCTGAAGCCTCACAGAACGCGAAATACTACAGACCCCAAAGCCTGTGCCAAACAGAGAGCTTTGTCAAACTTCTCTCAGCCCCAACCCCACAAGTCGAAACCTGCAGCCACGTTGTGACATGCAATTGCAAGACGGCCTTGGCCAGAGACGTTTCCCGCGACAGAGCCTCACGCACTGGTTTAATGTCTTTTGGAGTCTTCAAATGTCGGGAAGGACATGTGGGAAATGCCGATATCTTGCCACGAATTCCTCACAGACCATCTCCTAACTGCTTTACGGCCCAATGACACATGTACATTGCAGTCTCGTAAATCAGCCTAGCTGCAGGAAGTCGCTGCTTCCACTCGAATCTCTGTTCGTGATTCGGTGTTTCTGGGAGAAGACTTAAGTGCATTGTCGGCGGCCACAGGCACACTCACAAAAGACAGCCGGTAACCAAGCAAGGTTTGAACACCAAGCCCTGAACTCTCTTCAGGATGCACTGCGCCTCCACGAAGCGCTTTCGTGTGTACCAAGACCGTGCCGAGGGATAGTCGAAGGTTCCATCATCATTAACTGGCAGCTTGGGCTTTCAGCGGGGCGAATGCTTCTCACACCGGATTATTTTTTGAAAAGGGCGCCTGCAGTATTCACATACAGCACTCTGCCCAGGGGGAATCCCAATGAGGCAAAGCCCGGATGCTTGACTCCCCAGTCTCAACAGGGCCCCTCACTCATTGGAAGGACACCCGTCCCTGGCCTTCAAGCTGCGGCGATGCCAGGTCGCGTCTCCGGCCTCGATTCGAGCGGCGTGGATTCACAACTGCGGTGGCTGCAACTCGCTGTGGCCAAGGCTAAGAGTCTATAAGGGTCTAAGGGGCGCGCGTCCTGCTCGGAAGCGAACACCACACCTACCAGCGGAGCTTGGCATCTTGGTGCACTGGAAAATGGGCTGAAGTCCCCACATCCCAATTACCCGAAGGCTTGGGGCCGGAAGCTTCCCCCTGTTGATCCTTCTCCACCACTCCATCGAAACCCCAAAGCAGTCAGACTTTTACTGTGAATCGAGCTCTTGCTCTCACACACTTTGGGCCTGCCGTCACGCCGTGCGACGGAGCGCATCGCTGCCGCTGCCGGAGCCGGCGGCGCCTTCACTTTATGGCTTTTGACGCTTGGCGCTGCGGATAGATTCGGATAGATCCTGCCGACGTCGTCCTACGCTCTACTCTGCCTTCCTGACTTCGAAACCCGTCAAGTCTGGGGACCGCTGCTGGAGTGATGTTCCGGAACATCCGGGTGGCACGTGGCAAAGCCTTTCACAGTGCTTCCATGGTCTTCACATCATGCTATGATTGTGAGGTGATGCTGCGCATGTCTCTGCTATGGGTCTCAACTGGAAGAGCCAGTCTAACGTTCTGCTGCCCTGTCACCCCACAGATCGGCCCAGCCTCTGAACAAATCTCCAAAGGACTTTGCTTATCTAAACTTATCTTTGCTTACAGCTTGGCAGGCCACTTGATGGGAGACTGAGGTTCTGGCTGTCGGGTTGTGCAGCCTTTTCGGCCTGGACACGACATCTTGGGAAGGCCTCTCGAGCTTTCAAGACCCTGCGCCGCCGCAGATCCTCCACAGCCCCCACCAGAACCAGGAGAGTGTCGCCCGAGGCTGCAACCACTGCGGAAGCCACGGCGGCCTGGAGACAGGAGAGGCTCAGAGCTCGGAACTAACACAGGGTCCAAGCAACAACTGGAGCTGCAATCTTCAGGCATTGGCGTAGGGGTCCCTTACCTCTTGAAATCTGTGGAAGACAGACTCCCAACTCTTGAAGCCCTTCTTCCTTCTTCCCGCCTCATTTCCCGCCCAGGCACCGACCGGGGCGAAGCCGACTCTGCAATCGCAGCCTCAAGGTCCTGAGAAAATAGATGAAGGTTGTAAGCGGCGCGGTCAAGCCGCATTTACCCTTCGTTCTTGACCCACTAGACGGCGTTGCTTCAACCCCTCAGAATACAGTGCGCGGTCAGCTCCAGTAGCACTTGCAACGTGAAAATATATGCTTAGACAGAAATTACAGAAATAGACACCTTCAGTACGTTGCGTCAAATTGCCCGAGCCCAAAGCCGCGATACACTTGAGAGGGTCCTCCGTCACCAGTCGCTCGGACTGCTTCGTTTCCACCCTGAGATGGCTTCCCGGAATGTGTCAAGAGGGGTGTTGAGCCAGGGATGAAAAACCCATTTGCACAGGCTCACAGTGCTTTGATTAAGCCACTACATGCAGTCGGTCACATGGCTTAAGAAAGCTTAAGAAGTCTTGGGAGGCATCTCCTTTTGGCGGTCCATCGGCAAGTCTGCTATGCATCCAACCCCGAGCTTGAAGTTCAACCGCGCGCACGAACATGCTTGCAGAACGGCCAGCGCGTCGTCTCGCCGTCGCTGGAGTTCCCGGTGCCCGCCGAGCTCACAGAAACTTGACCTTGATCCATCAATCAATCAAGCAATCAATCAGTCAACCCATCAATCCATCCATCCATCCATTTATTTCATTTCGTTCCATTCATTAATTCATTCGTCCATTCATTCGTTATTCATTTCGTTCATTCATTTCATTCATTTATTTCATTCATGTCATTCCACTCATTTCACGCATTTCATTCGTTCACTCATTCGTTAATTCCTTCCTTCCTTCCTTCATTCATTCACTCGTTCACTCGTTCACTCATTCGCTCAGTCATTCCTTCATTCGTTCATTCATTCAAACTGTTTAACAAACCTTCATTAAATCAACCAATCAACCAATCAATCAAACAAACAAACCAACCATGCAAGCATTCAGCGTGCATGCACATATGCATGTGCAGGTGTGCAGCTGGTCATGCAAGTTGTTCCGGATTTATGTCAGCACTCAACCATGTAATCCGTATATACGAAACTGCAAAACAGACTGGCCGAATGATTGGTGGGCAAGCGGTTAGGAGAGCGATCGAGCGAGCACGTGAAAGCAAGGGCGAGCTGGATTACATCCATATGAAAAGTGGATATCCAAAGAAGGCATTGCAGACCAGCTTTTTTGCAGAAGGCGGCTGTCCGCACAGTGCAAACTACTTTTGTTACAGCACAACTTTAAGTGAAGATCCCCAGTAATTGCAATCAACCGAGACATGTTTTTCGGCTGAGAAATCCTGACTCAGGAGTTTCACGGTCTAGAAGCCTACGGCATGCCGGCATTGTCTTGGGAAGATGTAGGGTCCTGGAGATCTTGTAGAACAACCAAACTCTGTGCCGAAGTTATGTTGATGCTAGCGGCTCGGCTAACTAACAGGCTTCAAGAGTGTGTTTGGCGCCTGCGTCTTGATCCAAGGACCAAGCGATTCATAGTCGGCTGCGTGGCGAAGGAACGGTGGCCAACGGCCTGCAAAGTCTCACTCCAATGTTTCTGGTTGATGTGGTGTTGAAATGCTGGCTGTGATGGTGAGGCGGAGGCGGCGGCATCGGTGGCCCAGTGCAATCTGACTTTTCGCCCGGCCGTGCAGGATTCGAAGACGGCAGCAGGAGCAGGCCCTTTGCGCTCCAAAGGGAAGCCGCTGTGTCTCGAACGTCTCAAAACGACATGCACAGCCATCAGCACCCGGAAGGATCGAAAGTACTGAGACACAGCCAGAGAATTTCATCGTACAGGGAAACAGCAAAAGTCGGCCTCCGACTGAGGCTGGGTTCAGCTTTTCCAGCCCATGTTGAGCTCGAGGTAAGTTGCAGAAGCTCAGGATCAAATTCTGAGTCTCTGGAACGAGTGACTTTGCACTTCGCCATGGCGCCAGCGCACGGGAAATCCCGGCCATGAACAAATCAAGAATGCCAATAGGCTTTGGGCGAGCGGGGAGCTCGCTGCGCCATGTCTCGAGCTTTGCCGGGCTCCGAGTCTCCACAAGGCCCGCGACTCTGCGGTCCAAACAGGACCCCAGAAGACTTTGCAACCGAGTCCAACCCGAAGAAGGCAGACCTGAATCGACAAAACCAGATCTTGAACAAGACGAGACCGCGTGCTTTCCAGACATATACGTGTGTGTGTGTATATATATATATATATGTATATATACATATGTATAATTATGCCTCTGGACCAGTCAGGGAAGAGGAGCCACTACATCAAGAGTGGTGTCCCAGAATAGTGCCGCAAAGGAGTCGCCCGAAACGCTAAGTCCAAAAGAGACCACGGTCTAGACTTCTCAGAGCGTTGAATCCTCCAGGTCCCACCTGTGGGACCTCTTCGAATCTCGGGCCTTCTCTGAGAGCCTCGCTGCCTACCAACCCTCAGGATGCGGATTCGCGATGGTCCGGGCGACCTCAAACTCCGCCTGCACCTGCGGTTCTGGCTCACAGGACTCATCGTCGGGAGGCTTTGGGGGGAAGTCTGCATAGAATTTGTCCGGGTTCAGGGCTTGAAAGCTAAGTAGCCTACGATAGGGGTGTTCATGGCAGATCTGTTGTCGCACGCAGATCGATGATGCAAGCATCCTTACGCAGCTGCTCCCGTTGGGCCTTTGCCCCACAGTTGGGGCAGACGGAGTCCTGGATTCACAGCTTGGGCTTCGGCACCCTGGGAACTCAAGACGCCTGAAAACGAGCTCCTGCAGTCCAGAAGAACAGCGTGGACCTGATGCAATCGGAGGCTCTTCGAAGCATGCCCCTCTTGCTGGGGCTTGGCGGGAGACACCGGCCCAGGACCCAGGCAGAGTCGGCGCGCAACCCCGCGGCTTACCTTCAAGGAAGCTCATTACGGACGTCCCAATGATCTTGAAGCATGGAAGGCCGTCGGTAATTCGGCAGCAAACGCAACAGCAGTGGCACACTTGTCTCAACAGCTGCAGCTATGCCCGTGCCTTTGGCCGCTGGGGTGCAGCGTGCTCCTCGGCATCAGGGAACCGTTACGGTTAAGGAAAACAACAGACAATTAAACGGCCACCTCGCAGCCTCTGCCACAACACGCTGCAACAGTGCTGTGTCTTCAGCTGTAGTTTTCGTTGATCTCGGGCCACCGCACTTGGTGCTGAGGCCGTGCAGCGGCAACCGTCACAACGGCTGGTTGTTAAGGATGCCTGGGTGCGTGGCTAGTGTTGCTGGCGGCCGCCGCAGAAACAGCGGGCTGCATTTTGGGTCCTGTTCACGCAGGGCTTTCTGATGGAAATACCATCCTCAAGCGCAAGCCTAACTTTGCGCTTAGCTGTAACTTTCAGATCCTGGTAGATATGTGGGTTTAGGGATCATGATGCATTGGCATTCTTGTAAGCTCTAGCTTCCGAGACTCAGATAATGGGATCCTGGCTCTCGGCCGTAAGTAGAACAGGTTATGTTGCATCTGTTAGACAGCGATACCCGATGTATAGCAATGAACAAGTATACAGTGGCGGAGATCTGCTTGTTTCTGGATCAAGTTGCCCACGCAGCCTTTGTCGCAGATTCTGTTTTTATCTCCTGCTATGTTTCGGAGAACTCGACCTGTTTCTATCACCAAGTCTGTGTGAAGCCACCGTGTCAAAATCTGAGCGGGCAACCCTCTGCCTAAACCCTAAACCCCAATTTTAAAGCCCTCAGCACTCACATCCTGTGTGCCTGGATCCTGCAGCACCCTTTTAGCCTTCCCCCTGTCCGGAATCCTAAAGCCTGCAAGCCCTAAGCGTACCAAGGAAGGACCTCCGCGTTGCCGGCGCCGCCGAGTCGGCGGACCGTGCAGCGCTCTCGTGCACACCCTAGCCACCCAAACCTTCACAAATCCCAAAAACCTAAACCCCAAACCGCCAAAACCTGAAGCCCTAAACGTCCCACAAGCTGAGGTGGCCTGATGGGAGTTCGGATCCGGCTTAAACTTCTCGTACAGCTCAGCAAATCCTGGTCGAAGAGGGATTGGGGGCTTAAGGTTTCCACCAGCCTTGACCAAAACTACCTCCCATTCCTGGCTGCCACGTTGGAGAGCACAAGGCATGCCCTCTGGACTCGAAACGAAGAGAGGGGGCCGGTTCTCATCCGGACAATCAACCTGTAGGAGCCCAGAGGTACGTGGAAGAAGGTTCCAGCTGGGCACAAATCAGGATGAAGTAGTGGCGGCTGAGGCAGGTTCCTATCCCTGTGCTGATGAAGAGCAAGCCTAAGAGGCGAGTCGTTTCTACGTCTAAGCAAACTACTCCCAGGCACCCTGCAGGCTCCTTGGATGGGGGACGCGTGCACGCACAAGGCTTTGCCTTTCCAAGGGTGCGCTGGCCCTTACTGTTCACCTACATTCCCACATGCTGCCAAGCCAACACTCAAACCCCATGTTGAATTTCAACGTAAGACCTCGCGTCAGATCAACAAAAGTCTTTTCGGGCTTGGGTGCCTTGGGACAGAACAGCCGTTTTTCTGTTCGCCTGGCCCGAGGAGACCTAAAAGAAGCCACAAAGACAACCCAGCACCAGCCTTGCACCGGAGCCACTCGCAGAAAAGTTCCGTTGAACTCCTTCCATGCAAGCTAATCTCAAATAGGCTTCAGGCTGCCAGTTCCAAGGTCCAAGGACGTTTGACGGGTTCCCGAAGATGAGGCAGCTCACAGAGCAACCCTGGATTCCTCCCGTCACCCCTATGGCCAGATGATGAAACGAACTCAGCAGGATCCGACAACGAACTCTTCCCTCTGTCAGAGATTGTCAGAGGCTTTATAGGCTCCCTGTAGAAGTCTCGGGCGACACTGGGGCGCAAGAAGCTGACCAGGCCAAAGCCTGCCCAGCGAGCTTGAAAAGCGAGTGCTACACCCAGAAAAAATAGACAGATGGCGACGTAGATAGGTAGATAGGTAGGTAATTGGATAGATAGACAGATAGATAGATCGATAGATAAAGAGCCGGATGTGGACAGAGATAGATGGACAGACGGGTAGATGGCTACAGTAAGGAATAGCCGCATAGCCATAGCGAAACATCGCCAAACATGATCAAGAGACATCTTTGGGTCAGAATGCAGAGAAGGTGTGATAGACTCGATCTGAGTGTGCGTGTGTATATATATATATAGAGGTATACACGTATACACATACATACATATATATATATATGTATATATATATGCGTGTGTGTGTGTGTGTGTGCGTCTGTACATGCATATACACATGCACATACATACATGCATACATGCATGCATGCCATACCTACGCGCATACATACATACGTACCTACATATCTACCGACCTACCGACCTACCTCCCTTCGTACATACATACACGAATACAAGTACATACATGCCGACATACCTGCACTCATACATACATACGTGCATACATACATACATACATACACTCATTCATTCATACATATGTACATGCAAATATACATTGCATGACATTACATCACAATACATATGTATAAATGTATACGTACCAGGAATCAGCACGGACAACTAGACAAGATCATAGATTTACTGCACGACCGGCAAGGCAGAGAAGACGAGATGATACAAAGCGCAAGAAGAAGCATAATGATAAGACATCATCAAGTCGAATACTACCAGCAAATGCACTGTGACGAAATAGCAAAGATGGAGCATGTTTGGCAACAATCGCATGCCTATAAAAATAGCTCAATACAGCTAAATACATGTGTATACATGTGTATACGTGTGTATACATGTGTATACACGTGTATACACGTGCATACACGTGTATTCATGTATACGTCTATATAAATACGCGTATATATACAAATATGTGTGTGTATATATATATATATATATGTATATATGAACACACACACACATATATATATATATGCACATATACATACATATATATATATATATCTATATATATACATACATACATACATACATACATACATACATACATACATGCCTCTACATCCATGTATATACATGACTGTGGATAAACATGCATGCATGCACGAGTGTACGTATATATGCATGTGCGTATACATACATTGATGTATGTAGGCACGTGAATATGTATGCACACATGCATGCATGCAATCACAAAACCACGTACGCATTCATGCATGCATGCACACAGCTGCATTTATGAATGTACGTACATACATACATACGTACGTATATATGTATGCATGTATGCATGCGATCTCAGATGCTAAGAACCGGAAGAAACCCTTCTCGAATACACAGAGCAGACACTTGAAATCTCGGTTTCGTACATGACACGAGGAACCTCCAAATCTGCCTGCAACCACTCCCGTCCGAAGCTGTCTGCAGCTAGCTCGTCCGCCTTCGTTGGCACCCTCTGCCGGATCATAGGGCAAGTACAAGAAGTCCTGTGCAGCTGCATGGCATCCACCGAACCCTTCGTCCAAACGTCTTGGAGCGCGATGTAGAAAATCTGAATTCTGAAGTAAATGCACGCCGAACGTACAAGCTGTTGGT